GAATAGCGTCCTTACTATTCTTTCAGACTCCAGAAAGCACTGATCCTCTGATCAGCCACAGTGCATTGTAGAGGACCAGGCCTCCCTCTGGGAAAGAGCCAAGCCGGGTTGCCCCTGTGTGGGGAGCAGACAGCCCGGCAGAACGATGTGTAAAACCCAAGTCAGATTCAGATTCACTTTCAAGTAAGTGTGCTTCAAGAGAGGAGACTTTATATTGGAACACAGAGTCACTAAATTGGGGTGATTGGAAGTCCCAGAAAGCTCACATTGGGCCCAGGGAAGCTCTTAGCTTTAAATAATCAAACCAGAAATGTTTTATGAGAAAACTTTTTTTTTTCTTCCTGAAGTCCATTTGGAGCAAATATTGGACTGCAAGGTCAGGGGCTCCAACCCACCAGTCCCTGTTAGGGAGAAAGATGAGGCTATCTGCTCCTGTGAAGATTAATAAAACTCGTCCCAGCTCTCAGACATTTTACAATGCCTACAAATGTAATCTTAAAGAGAATTTGTCGAAACTGCATCTAGAGTTTGAAAACTCTAAATTAATTTAGAGGCAAGGAACAAAATGGATCCTCTTTAAAAAGTCATTTGTTCATTTAGTCTGTTAAAAAAAAAATGCAGTAAAAGAGAACCTACACTATGCCAGGCCCCATTTGAAGAAGGGAGCCCTGGTGGTGTACTGGATTATGCATCGAGCTACTAAATCACAAGGTTAGCAGTTCAAAACCGCCAGAGAGGAGAAAGATGAGGCTTTCTACTTCCTTAAGGATTTACAGTCTTGGAAGCCTACAGGGACCCTTCTAACCTGCCCTATAGGGTCACCCTGATTCAGAATTGACTTGATGGTAGTGGGTTTTGTTTGAAGAGGAGTGGGGCATGGTGATGAATAAAACCAGCACAAGCATTGACAGTAGGCTTGTACTCTGGTGGGAGGAGAAGGCATTTCATAACCACATGTACCCCAGATACTTGGCTGTGTGTCTTAAAATGTAGCATCTTGAATTCAATCCAACCTTCAAACAAGTTTTGATTATTTCAGGGAGTAGATCCCAGAGCCATCGTAAAATAGGCCTTATCTTTCCTAATACAAGTAGATTAGGATGAGGCTGTTCTTACAGCTGTTTTACATTCATGTTGGTCATGGTATCATTTTGTAGTTGTTTTAAAGAATCGGAGATGGTTTATTAAATACTGGTGATAGTCTCAAGTTGTCACTAACAGAGGTTGTCCAAGTGGCACAACCAGATGTGTCCCCCTGGTACAAACTTGCTCCCATTCATGAGTTTTTAAATGTAGTTTGGAGATTTCATTTAGCTATTTCTCCATGCTTGCTGGCTCCATTCATGGTTATTCTGAAAGGTTTAGTCATTTTGCACAAATACTCTTTGAGCAAGAATATGTAAGATGAGTGTTTCATTTGTACAAGGTGGGGGTGGGGAGCAACATGAATGGTGAGATTGTGGGCCTGCCCTTTGGTTCCTGAGAATGTGAGCCCCAGAATCTCTAAGCCTGGTTGAGCTCCAGCACACTCTAGTTCATTGGAAGTGAAGACATCTGGGGCCATCTTCCTTCCTGTCTTGAACCTGATGCCTATAGATTGTCTTGCAGATTCTTCACCACACATCTCTGTTTGTAGCTGATTACCCTAGGACAGCAGTTCTCAACCTGTGGGTCATGACCCTGTGGGGGTTGAACAACCCTTTCACAGGGGTCGCCCATTCATAACACTAGCAAAGTTACAGTTACAAAGTAACAAAGACAATAATTTTGTGGTTGGGGAGGGGGTCGCCACAACATGAGGAACTGTATTAAAGGGTTGAGGCATGAGGAAGGTTGAGAACCACTGCCCTAGGCAGTCATCCTGTGGAAAGTCCTTTCTGGCCAATCAAAGCAAGGTTCAAATGAACCTAGTTGTCCTGAGAGAAAAGGCTAATCTTTTCTTTACTTCAACACTCCTCACTCTTTTCCTTATGTAAAAATTTATCTTTCAAATATTTTCAAATTAGAGCAATATTTTCACAATCTAACAACCAAGAGACACAGTCTAATCATAACATGGGCAAATGACTTAAATGGACATTTCACCAAAGAAGACCACCAAGCATAGAAAAAGATGCTCAGTATCATTAGCCGAGCTAATCAGAACCACAACAATACACTATTTCACTCTCACTAGAATGGATACGATTTTAAACAACAGCAACCACAGCAAACAAAGCAAAAGTAAGAGATCTTGATGAGGGGAAATGGAGAGCTTTATCCCTTGCTGATGGGAATGCAGCATGGTGCAGCCAAGGTGGAAGACAGTGTGGAGGGTCCTCAGAAAACTCAAAGGAGAACTACTCTGTGAGCCGGCAGCTCCCCTTCCAGGTCACCGCCCCCAGGCTTGAAAGCCGAGACTCGAGAACTATGTTCAACAGTGTTATTGTAGCACTATTCACATTAGCCAGAGATGGAAATAACTCAAATGCCCATCAACAGATGAAGAGGTAAAAGAAATGTGGCCCATGGGCACAATGGAACATTATGAACCAGTAGGAGAAATGAAATTTTGACCCATACTATAGCATGGATGGTGCCTGGATACAGTATAAAAAATGAAATAAGCCAACCACAAAAAGACAAACATTGTATGACCTCACTTATATAAAAAGACCCCCCAAAAACACAAAAACCAAACAACTTTATCAGTGGTTACCAGGGCAGGAAGAAAAGGGATAACGGATGGTTAATGGTGATGGGCAATTGCATTGATTAAAAGTAGGGTTGCACAGCTGGGTATTATAATTGATGTGAATAAGTTGTATACCTGTGTACAAAAAGTTGAAATGGCCAAAGTTGTGTGATATATTTTCAACAACTGCTGCAGAGAGAGAAAGAGAGAAAAATAAGCTGCTGAGGCTACTTATGTACAAGCAGGCAACTTGTGGGATTTGATTCCTTGGCTTGGAGGGTGGGATCATGGCTTCAAGGGACAGCACAGTTAATTTGCCATATTATGGGATTAGTGCTTCAGTTCTACCTCCTCGTTCTTGGGTAGTGCCTCGGGTCTTGATAGCTTGCTACAAGCTGCCATCCACTCAGGATAGGAGAAAGGCATGGAATGAGTGGCCAGTTGTCTCCATGAACAACTGCTTCCTTCTCTATGAAACCAAAAGACCCAGAGAGTACCCAGCTACCTTACTGGACACTGGGATGAAAAAGCCCATAGCGCCTAAGTAAAGAGAGAAGCTATAGAACAGAATGCCATGTCCCCTTGGACTCCAGACTCTAGAAGCAGGAAGGCTGAAGGAGGCCCGAAATGATTGCTCTGAGATGATCTTTAAACCTGAAGCCAACAATAGCCCCTTAAGTTTTCTTTGAAACCACACAATTGTTTTTAACTAGTAAAATAGGTCTCCCTTGAGCCTGGTGGACGTTTAAGAGGCATCTCTATGGAATCAAACTGGCAACAACAACGGGAAAGATGAGATAGGAGCCTTTAGTGAGTTGGCATTGTTGAGGGAGAAACCACTCTGGAAAGGACAGTGAGAACGATCACACAACTTGAAGAGTGCGGCCAGTGACGCGAGATTCTATGCAGAGAAACCCTTCACCTGATGTGTGTTCTGCTGTGGCCAGTCTCCACAGCAAAATAAATACAGTCTAGAACACAGTAGACCAATACCTCATCATTTATTTTCTTACATTTGTGAATTCAAGCACAATAATAGAATCTTTATTTTATATGTGTAAGTTTGGTTTTTTTAATTGTGTATCATTTTTTAACCTTAAACATCAAGCTATTTTTTTTTGCGCCCTCATGAAGTGTATCTTAATCACTTTAATAATTCTCACTACAAGAGTAAGTCTGTTTAGAATTTGTCGCTCACCAAAACTTTTTGTCTTCTTTCCCTAATTTAACTTTGATCCACCTACATCTAAAAAATAGAGAGTAGCTGTGGGAGTTAAGGTAGTACCTTGTGATTATTGGTAGTTTATATCACTTAAAAACAGAATTTATTCCTCACACAAGGGACGTCAGACAGAAAATTGATCATAGTTTTTTCTCCCCCATCCTTTTGTCATTTCTGTCTGCTTATTTAAATATGTATACATACGTAGTTATTGGTTGATAACAAACTCCCTACCACCAGCATAGCATAATAATCAAGAATGTAGACTCTGGAACCAAATTACCTCCCTTGTCATCCTAGCTCTGCCATTTATTTGCTGTATGATCATAGGCAAGTTACCTGTTCTTTGCATCAACATCTCCTTTGTAAAGAAGGGATGACCAGAAGTTGGGGCAGGGGTGGGGTGGGGGCTAGTCCTCTACAGAGTACTCACAGGTTAGATAGGGAAGGTTACAGAATTTCCATAGGGATCAGATGAACCCATAGATGTGAAGATGTGGGACATGAAACACAACAGATGTAAGCTGGTATTCATGAATAGTCTCTTCCAGTGGAGGATTCACTTGATTTGTCATTTGACAGTTATTCTTACCTGGGGTTGCAGTGGTTCTCAACCTTCCTAATCGCGACCCTTACATACAGTTCCTCATGTTGTGGTGACCCCCCAACCATAAAATTATTTTCGTTGCTACTACATAACTGTAATTTTGCTACCCCTGTAAGAGGGTCGTTTGATCCCCAAGGGGGTCGCAACCCACAGGTTGAGAACCTTTGGGTGAGAGGCTGGCTGGCTTACTTCTTGTATTCATTTTTAATTCATACAAAAATGTGTCTCAATGAAAACGGTTGTCTGCAACCAGCCCAGAGCTGCCCGGTTATGTGCCGTGGCAGACGCAGCCCCGGTCTCAGCTTAGGGAGGTACTTTGGGCCCCAGAGCAGAAGCGAGGCGAGGGGTCAGGTTCGGTACAGACCCTTCTTAAAGCGGCTTTGTTGGGTTCCCGCGAGGACGCTAGCAAGTAGTGAGGGTTTACCTGCCTGGTTTCTCCCGTGATAATCCTTCCATGCGTACCGTCGTCCACCAATCCATTACAGCGCTCGTTCTTCCATCTACTCTCTCCAATTAACACGTGACTATCGGCGTTGCCACACCTAAGACACCGGGAAGTCTTACAGCTTCTTCATCAGCTGAATAAATAGCAAGATCTTGGTACACGTGCTTCACTCGCTTTATAACTCTTAAATCACATTAACCCAAACCTTCAGGCCTCGTGATGGGGTTTTTGTCCTGTGTGCAGAGGTCGTCCCCCACCTGCCACCCCCGACGATCCACAAGCCACCGTGGAGCACCCTGAGAGAGTGACCCTTAGAGACTGGCTTTTGATGGAGATTTTCAACTCAGCTCTTTGAATTTAAGTCATACGAGCCCCCTCCTCCCTTTGGCATCAGTGAAAGCAAGGTTTGACAAGAGATCTTTGCCTGTGGGACAGTAAGAAAACGTTGAGTTTTGTTTGTTTGTTTTGAGGCTCCTAGCAAACTGCCTTACGAAGTCTAGACCTGTAACGTCTAGTCTGTCGTTGTGTGGAATTATAGCTTAATTGTGTGAATGCACCAATTGCGCCTGGACAGGGAGCCATGGACACCTGACCGCTCAACCGCGCAGCCCGCTGGCACGCGGGCCCGCAGCATTCAGGAGGCTGCCTGGGCCCGTGGGAACTGCGGTTCCGGGGGCCGCAGAGCCTCCCCGCTGCGGTTTCTCCCACGCGCGCCCTGGCGCAGGCGCTGGCCCCTGGCCTGTGCGGCCCTTGGGGGACGCAATCCTAGCATCGAGGAAAATCGCGGCGTTTTTCTAGTTCAAGTAGCTAGACCCCTGTCGGAAGTCTATGGAAGTCCGTGCTGGCCGTCTGCGATGGAGCCTCCCTATTCTAATGCAAATACCTGGCCTTCTCCACTCCACTTCACTCCGCCCCTGCCAGGCCTGTCCGCCACACCACCCCCATTCAGGGGTCTCCCCAGGCGCGCCCTGGCCGGCCCCGCCCCTGCCTTTGAACCTGTGACGGGGGCCATCCTCTGCAGGAAGACCAGCGTGGTCGGGGTGCCTGCGAGGTTTGTACGTTGCTCAGCTTTAAGATGGAGGGGTTCTTTGTACCCCGATCCTGAAACCACACTGTGATTGTGTGTGTGTGTGTGTGTGTGTGTCCAAGAACAAAGGAATGCAATGGTGTGTCATTGTCATGTCCCTGTCTCTCCTTCCTCAAAGCCCCCTCAGACCACCCGAGAGATACCTATTCATCTCACTTTTCTTTTCCAGAGTAAAAAGGATGTTTTTGTCCGCTGACAGTAGTGGCCCTCAAGCAGTCCCTAAAGGGCACTGTGGACCCAGCGGGCCCGGCACGCCTAGGCAGGAAGGGAGCAGGGAATTGGCTGCCGGGATCGGGAGTCATTTGGGGGCATGTCCATCAGCCCCCCATTAAATCCGACTCCGAGCATTCCAGAGCACAGCCTCTGCGGGACCCCACGGCCAGGCTGCCCCTTTGTCTCCACTGCCACGGGCGACAGAGAGCCCGCGGTTTTTGCTTGTAACGTTTTTGGGTTTATTTGTTTTGGGAAAGAAAGCACACCGCACAGCAAACCGCCAAACAACTACACTCCCTTTTCTTCTTACTGCCTGCGCCTGGCCGGGTCCGTTCTGGGGCAGTTTATTCTGCATCTCTGGAAGGATGCTGGAAATAAGAGGGATGAGGAGGAGGAAGAGGAAGAATGCGTCAACTAATGGTCTTATTAAATGTTTCGAGTAATATGTTTTAATGCTTACTGCTAGGCAAGGAAAGGTAAATGAATACATGGAAGATTAAGATATTCTCATTGCGTATAATTTAGTGGGAGGAATAAGTCTTTGAAAGACTATACTATATATGAATAAACAAATATTGTTTTCCTGGTTTACAATGTTTGTGTGTGTGTGTGTGTGTGTCAAGTGGGACAGGGGGAGGAGACAGAGAGAGAGATGTTTACTCAAATTCCTGAAGAAGCCTAGGGTGAGACTAGAGTTCAACATTGCATTTTGGGTGTCCAACGGCTTGTTGGTCACAATGACAAAGGTTACCCAGGTGCCAGCACCCCCACCCGCAGCAGTAACCCAGGACTAATTAAATGCTGCCCTGGCAACGATCTAGCATGCTAAAACATCGTGCTCCCCCTTTTGTGTCCCCTGCAGTGGTCTAAGGGGGTGATTTCTGTTGCCTGTGAAGTCAGCTTTCCTTGTTCCAGACAAATGTGAGAAAGAAGGGCTCCTGGGAAGGAGCATTTCACAATGGGCCGCAGAGGCTGGAGGAACGAACAGAGTGTAAGACGCAAAAGAATGTTATTTTAAGAGACCGTTCCAAACTCACGTTGAAGGCTTGGCTGTAGTTAGGACTGGGGAGCCGAATGCATGATTTAAAAATAAAATCCTCTGATTAAACACGAACATAAGTTCTGGTTCATTCTCTCCCCCTCTCTGCGTCTCCCTCCCCAGACTGGCGGCAGCATCTACTGAAAGGCAAGGCAGAGGGAAAGTAGTGGTTTACTGACTGCAGCCCTGGGAGCAGTCATCACCGCCTTGGTGGCCTTGTGGCATTCCTGAGGGGTTAAGATAAACTGAGCAGACCCTAAGGGTCTTTGTGCTTAGAGAAGACTCTCCTAACCCTGCGCTCAACTCTTAGACTAACCCCTTTCTTTTTCCATGAAACATGTTTTCATTGGAGACTGTGAATAAAGGACCCACTGTTGAGCATTTTGGACCAAATTCATGGATTCCTTGTTTGCACCTCACACGGATGGTCTAAGAAGGAACAGCTATTTCTCTGAGGGAACAGAGCATTCCCAGAGCACCTTGCCCCAAGGAGTACTCGTTATAGATGTTGCTTTTTGGTTCTGAAATGCCTGTTAATGGAAATGTCACATTTGTTCATGGGATAATGAGAAAATAAGAGACATATAAAATCTGCAGACCAGGCAATCCCCTATCTCTCAGATCCTGGGCCATTTTGAGTAGTTGTCTTCTGCCCTTTCAAACGGTCACATGGGTGTTTCCATTTTTGAAAGGCCTTTGGAACCAGGTATGAAAGTTTCTTGATGAAATTCTCATCCCTTTTTAATTGAAAAGAGACGGTGTAGCCAACTATGTTTTATCTAGACTCTCAGGCAGTCTCACAGTTCAAATAACAAGATTTTTTTTGGTCTGGCAATCCAACAGGAAGTGGTGCAGTGTTCACAGTTCCCAAGGCCTTATACAATGCCAAAGTGCTCGATAGGTAATTGTGTTAGACAGGGTTCTCTAGAGAGATAAAACCAGATGGCTAGTAATTATATATATTATAATATATATTATATATATATTTACATATATAAATATATATTATATATATTTACATAGATAGATAGATAGATAAGACAAGAAATAAACAATTAAATTATAAAGCAGTTATACAGATAGATAGCTATATAACACAAGAAGTAAACAGTTCAATTATAAAGCAGTACAAATGGCTCAGTACAATTCAAATGTGTTAAAAGTTGTGAGACACTGGCAGTCCTTTAAATCTCTGTAGAGAGATTCAGGCTATCCTGGCACAGGCAGCAAACAGCAAGGCAGGTCACCAACAATCAGTGCCCAGCTCAAGAGATATAAATTCCAATTGTGTGGGCGAAGCAGGTCTTGAAGGAACCTCAAAGTACAGTGACACAGTCCCCAGGTTAGGTGTCCCACAGGTAGTGTAGCTTGCAAATTGAGGCACAGAACAAGCCAGGCAGCCGCACACTGGTCCAATGATCAAAGAGCGAGAGACAAGAAAGGCGAGGCTCGCGGGAGCCATTTATTCTCTGCCCTTCAATTAATCCCACATGTGTTTATTGGCCAGGCTGGCACAATAAACTACCTAGCTCAGTAGTGAACTTATAGTCAGTGTAATTTGTGCAGCTTTGTGCATGTGATGTGTGTGTGTTTCAGAGTAAGCTTCAGCAGGAAACAAAAGGAGGAATACCTGATCATATTCTAATCTATTGGAAATGAGGCAATCCTTTCACAGCATAAGGTAGATCATTTTAGAAGGTAACCTCTTACCTGCCAGGCGGTCATTAAGCATGTATGCCGTAGTTCCTCTGGTAAGACACAGTCTCAGTTCCTGGCTCAGCAGGCTATATGAAGTAAGCCTGGCCTGAAAGTTGTTAACAACTGAGTTGTGGAAATGAGATAACTAACAGAACAAGTCAGTCTGTAATGGGTGCCAGGTATGGAGTTCCCCCAATTAATTACATGTCTCTCCATAAATTCTAGTGGTTCAAACATTTTTAAAAAGCAAATGCACCTAAAAGTACACATAATGGATGTAATACAGGAATATATTCATATTATATATGAATATATTTTTTGGCACAAGTGTAGCCGCATACAGTGAACTGACTTTGTGATCAAAGAGTTTCAAATTCAAGCTTAAAGGTGTTCACTGGTTTGGAACTACACTTCAAGTTCAACCCTTCCATTCAATTGTGAAAAGATCATTTGAGAGCTTAGACCCCACAGTGGTTCTCAACCTGAGCGTTGAGACCTCTGTGGGAGTCGAATGACTCTTTCACAGAGGTCACCCAATTCATAACAGAAGCTAAATTACAGTGATGAAGTAGCAATGAAAATAATGTTATGGTTAGGGGGTCACCACAACATGAGGAACTGTATTAAAGGGTCGCGGCATTAAGAAGGCTGAGAACCACTGGCTTAGGGATTCCCCTCTTCTGGAAGCATAGGAGAACAAAGCTGCAGATCTTTGTTACAGATGGGGGGGGTTGGCAAACTTCTGAGCCACTCCTGTCCCTCACAACAAGTTAAAAAGTATTTGAGAGCCATAAATATATTTTTACAAATGAAACCACCATTATCTGAATAATATCCTTCAAATTTTTCAGTTTTACTTGAGAGCCACATGTACACATCCAAAGAGCCACAGCATACGGCCTCAGAGCCAGTTGGCCGACCCCTGTTAGAGACTATGTAGAGACTCCATTTCAAGATCACGCTTCTCTGAGTGCTGGGAAATTGGCCAATGGCAGACTCAGGAGACACGAGGGAGAGATTGCAAGAGTAAATGATTTTATGGGAGTAAATCCCAAGTAATTGGTTCACTTCCTAGAGGCTCAGATAGAAGCCCCAGAAACCACCACTCAGTTTCATTGAATCCATCCTGACTCATAGAGACCCAATAGGTCAGAGGGATCTGCTCTGTCGGGCTTTGAAGGATGGACGCGAGGCTGCAGACGGCCCCATCTTTCTCCTGGAGAGCCCCTGGTGCATTTGAATGCGCCTTTTCGGTAGTCTCCTGATGCCCACAGCACCCCCAGGGCTCCTGAGATGCTCTGGGGAGCATGCTCTTCGGCTCTCCCCATAACAGGGGCCACTTGGAAGGCTGATTGCTGAGACTTTGCCTTCTGGAGAGTCCTGGGAGCTCTGTCTAATGGCTCATACAAAGCGCTTGTTGCTTGGGTGGCTCTAGAGAAGTTGCTGTGTGCCAAGGTTCTTCTTCTGTAAATTAGAGCGATTAAATGAAATAATGATTTTTCCTAGACCCAAAATGTAACCTACCCCATCAGACCAAATAACGCAAAAGCCTAAAATTATGCCAGCAGATGGTTTTCAGAGGCATAGTTCAAAGCTATGGCAGCTGGATGCTGGGACGCAGCCTTCCTGGGGAAGGAGCTTGGCCATGCCGCCTCTGGAAAGGCCCCATGCAAGACACAGGCTAGTTTCCGATCCTCTAACCCCATCAAGGTGAACCGCCTCCTGGAATTTCCTTGGGCTAGTGAAAACAGGCACTACTGCGGGTCTTTCTTCCAATGAAATGGCTAAAGCAAGCTTTGTGCAGAGCGGGGTGTACGTGTACTCTGAATTGTTCTGCAGATGATCCGTTCTGTGAAGCATTCGTTGATCTCCTCAGAAAAGAATTCCACGTTGAAATAAGTTTGGGAATGATGCCATATGAAATCCTTGAAGAGCCATACTGTATGTACGTGAAGATGAAGAAGAATAAAAGATGATTCAACTTCGTGTAGCCATATGGTGCCGTAACTTGTAAGACCAATTGCTCCTGCTACCCCTCGGACCCATGAATCTGATTTCTGTAGAAAACAAGGCGGGGTATGACGAACTCAATGATACCTAACTCCCTTCCGTTTGAACATTCCATCATTCCATGAAGTTTCTCTAAACTGCCTTTCTACTGAAATCCAGGAAGGAAGGGGGCATGCCTTTAAAGGTTCCGCTTGTTAACCAAACCAAACTCACTGCCATCCAGTCGACTTTAACTCACAGTGACCCTAGAGGACAGGGTAGAACTGCTCCTGGGGGTTTCCGAGGCCGTGAACTCTTTATGCAAGTACAAGGTCAAGTCTTTGTCCCTCTGCTTGTGAAGGCACTTTTTCATTCAGGTTTTAAAGCATCAGGGGAAAATTCACTTCAGAAATTGTGCCTTCTCTCATCAACCAGTATGATTAACTTGAGGGGCAAATGCGCAGCTTTGGACTGGTCCAGCTCTGTGTCATTCAGACTGATTTCCCAGTCTGGGAATTCTCGGCTCTTTACGTCTTCCATGTCTTTAGCCTGCCGGCAGACCAAACACAACCAAACGTAATTGTGTTTGCACAATGCCAAATGGAAAGTGTTTTAAAAAATCAAACCCACGGGTGTTTCCCTACACAATGCCAAATAGGAACGAAGGGCATCACTTTACCATTCAAATGAGAATTTCCACACACGTGTTGGGAGTGCTGTTGAGCTTGGGTTACTTGCTTATTCATGCAGCATCTAACAGGCTGAAGACATCACTTCATGAGCTGTAGGTTGAGTGTTAAAGATGCCAGGCCTGTCGTTTATTATGGATAGTTGAAAAGGGCCTGCATTTTAATAAGCATGATCAACTCTGCATATCTTGTCATGTGAACCATCAATTAACCCAATGTAATGTAACGAGTCAGCACATGCAGATTTGAATGCCCTTGGGAAGCAAGGCTCAGATCAAATTACTACCGACAGCCCACCATTTGCATGCAGGTAATCATTATCAGAAAGTCCTAATTAGTAGGTAAAGTGATTTTTATGGTAATGGGTTTTATGAGTGACTGTTGGTATCTAGTATCTTAAGGTTAGCAATTCCAATTTGTCCCCTCTCTAGTCTTGCCATATTTGCAAAAATGTTTAATTTGCTCGTTAAAATCCTAATATAAAACTATGTTGACCTCACAAAATTTTTACAACTCAAATGTGTGAATTTATACTCAGGGGCTTCAAAAAGTTTGTGTGGGGGAAATCCATGCTCTTTTCCTTCTATTTTGCCAACAACTTTTCGGGTCTCCTTTGTGCACAAGAACAATGGTGATGCTAGAACCCTGTGAGTGAGAAGTGTGGTGGTCTAATAAGACATCCTCGTTAGTGGAACAGTC